AATTCCCCTGCGGATCGCTCCATGTGAGCTTCGACGACCCCCGCTACCACCTCAGGGTGCTCGTCCCAACGGTCTTGGTGGTCGGCCACAGCAAGCTCTAGCTTGGCAAGCCGTTTCTCGAATTCCACCATCGGCTCTCTAACGACCGACTTCTCCTTGCGGTTTCCTCTGCGGGTGGTCCTCCCCACCTCGTGGGAAACGTGATCCCCCTCAAGCTCCGACCCTTGAACAACCTCCGAAGGATTGGACATAGCTTATGCACGAAAGAAAACTAACAAACGGAAGCGTAGACGATGTAGCACATCAAGTATCGAGCCGAGGCTCTGATACCAACTGTCACGGGCTTACTTTTTCAAAGTAACGGCCGTGCGGCACTAGCACAAAACAACTAACGATCAAGTGCTAGCTCAGCCTTAAGACCCCCAAAGCGTGCAAAGCTAGGCAAGACTTTAAAGAACGGAGGCAAAGAAAAACTTAAGAAAGGTTGAAAGTGAAAGAACGATGAAGGCACAAGAGAGCTCAAGGAATGCTTGAGAACTCTACTCAAAGCTTGGATGGATTACAAATGAAGGGGGCATGGGGTATTTATAGGCAAACCCCAAGTCCTAAAGAATTCTAGAGAATTCTATGTACATAATAAAATAATAGAATTCTAGAGAATTCCTACAATAAAATATTCTAAGTTCAAAATATCTACAAGTCTCTAGAATCTTTCACATGGTTCTAGCAAACTCGGGTAGCTTCCACACGGTTCCACCCGTTTCTAGAGAGTTCCGGGCCTCTCGAGAAAATTACAGAATCTTCAAGATTTGACCGGAGAATTCCACAAGGCTCTAGACCGTTCCGTCCCATGTCCGTCTACGAAAATAGCCTGTTTTGCAGCAAACCACCCGAATTCGTGGGGAAGAAAAACTGTCCGTGACACTTGTGACCGCGGCCCGGAAGTTACGCCCCTATTTCTAGGCACACCCGATCATTGTTCTTACGGATCAGCCCCTACAGCAGATTCTCCGAAGGTCCGACACATCGGGCCGGATGACTAAGTGGGTTGTGGAACTCGGGGAGCACGACATAGAATTTTGACGTCGGACCTCTATCAAGGGCCAAGCTTTGGCCGATTTCCTTGTCGAAGTCCCTCTGGGAGTGGAAACCGAGGCTAGCGAATGTTGTTAAGACCCTGAAAGATCTTCCCCTGCCGGACAGTAACTATGGACTTGGTTCGTCGACGGGTCTTCCTCTAGGGAAGGTTCGGGCGCGGGCGTGGTTCTGATTGATCCCCACGGGTCGGAAATTGTTTATGCCATCCAACTGGATTTTCCTGCCACAAATAATGAGGCTGAATATAAAGCACTGATCGCTGGGCTATCTATCGCCCGCGCTCTCGGTGTTCAGGAAATCTCAATTTGCAGTGATTCTCTGGTAGTCGTCAATCATGTTCTTCGGCTGTACGAAGTTCGGGAGGTGGTGCTCCAAAAGTATCTTCGAAAAGTCAGGGTGTTGGAACGCGGCTTCCGTGTCTTCCACATTCGGTATATACCGGGGCCGCAGAACAAAAGGGCCGATGCTCTGAGCAAGTTAGCTTCTTCCCGCGCCGTGCACTTAGCCCAGCAGATTCCCATGGAAGTCAGGACGCGTCCGAGCATCCTAGACAACGAAGTCTTGCCTGTGACGATGAAAGAGGTATCTTGGATGACACCCTTTGTCCAGTACTTCCAGACCGGGGCAATACCCGCGGACCCAGGAGAGGCCCGGAAGATTCGGCTCAAGGCGCCTGAATACTTGATGAGGGATGGCATCTTCTACAAGCGAGGGTACCTAACACCCTTGATGCGCTGCGTTGGGCCGCGAGAAGCTGAGACGTTGATCAGGAGCATGCACGAAGGCGCTTGTGGGGCTCACTTAGGTTCACGTAATCTGGCCAAGAAGCTGATCCGTGCCGGATATTACTAGCCTACCTTGTCCCAAGATTGCTACAACATCGTCCTTCGGTGCGCGCAGTGCCAAAAATATGTCCCTATTCCGCGTCTACCCCAAAATAAGATGGTCCCAATTGGCAGCCCGTGGCCTTTCTACAAGTGGGGAACGGACGTAATAGGGTCTTTCCCATTGGCCCCGGGTAAGCTCAAGTTCGTGATCGTCGCAATTGACTACTTTTCTAAATAGGTCGAAGCGGAACCTCTGGCTTCCACCACAGGGGCAAACGTTGCCAAATTCTTCTGGAAGAACATTTTCTGCCGGTTCGGGATCCCGAAAAATCTTATCTCAGACAACGGGACTCAGTTTGAATCGAGAATTTTTAAATTCTGGTGTGAGCAGCTCGGGATCGAACAGCGGTTTTCGTTTGTGGCCCATCCTCAGGCCAACGGGTTGGCTGAAAATATAAACAAGGCCATCTTACAAGGCATGAAGACACGGCTTAAGAGAGCCGAGGAGCTATGGCCCGAGGAGCTGGCCCACGTCCTCCGGGCCATCCGCACCACTATGAGGACGGCCACGGGGGCAACCCCTTTTAGCCTCGTTTATGGCATGGAAGCCGTCCTCCCAACTGAAATAGAGGTGCCCAGTCCCCGGGTGGTCAACTTCGCAGAGGAAATGAACGAAAATGAAATCCGCCTTTGCCTCGATTTCCGGGACGAAAGACGAGACCTGGCCAAAGCCCGCGAAGCCAAATACAAGCAGATCATGGCCAAGTACTACAATGCCAAGGTCCGGGCTCGGGACTTTGAAGTCGGAGACTTGGTCCTCCGACGGAACGAGGTGACCCACGCTGAACCGACCGGAAAGTTAGATCCGAATTGGGAAGGACCATACAAGGTTGTTGAAGTTTCTCCCTCAGGGAGTTATTGCCTGCGCACGTGTGATGACGAGCCCCGCGACATCCCCGATGGTGGAACATCCAGAACCTCAGGAAGTTCAATATCCGAAGGTTTCTGCCTACTTTTGTAATAGATATTAGCCAAGCAGAACTCCGGCACTTTTGCTGTTAATATACTACTTCCAGTGCCTTTGTACGAACTCCATCCTTCCTGAAACCGTGTGGCCTCCGCAGCCTACGTAACCCCTACGGTCTCCGTGACCTTGGGGCATTTACAAAGCCGTCTCGACCCCAGTGGCCGATGGCACCGTGTGGCCTCTGCGGCCTACGGAACCTCCACGGTCTCCGTGACCTTGGGGCATTTACAAAACCGTCTCGACCCCAGAGGCCAACGGCACCGTGTGGTCTCCACGGCCTACGGAACCCCTACGGTCTACGTGACCTTGGGGCATTCATAAAGCCGTCTCGATCCCAGTGGCCGACGGCACCGTGTGGCCTCCGCGGCCTATGGAACCCCCACGGTCTCCGTGACCTTGGGCATTTACAAAGCCGTCTCGACCCCAGTGGCCGATGGCACCGTGTGGCCTACGGAACCCTCATGGTCTCCGTGAGCTTGGGGCATTTACAAAACCATCTCGATCCCAGAGGCCGACGGCACCGTGTGGCCTCCGCGGCCTATGGAACCCCTACGGTCTCCATGACCTTGGGCATTCACAAAGCCGTCTCGACCCCAGTGGCCGACGGCACCGTGTGGCCTCTGCGGCCTACGGAACCCCCACGGTCTCCGGGACCTTGGGGCATTTACAAAGCCGTCTCTACCCCAGAGGCCAACTGCACCGTGTTGCCTCCGCGGCCTACGGAACCCAAACGGTCTCCGTGGCCTTGGGGCATTTACAAAGCCGTCTCGACCCCAGAGGCCGACGGCACCGTGTGGCCTCCGCGACCTACCGAACCCCTACGGTCTCCGCGACCTTGGGGCATTCACAAAGCCGTCTCGAACCTAGTGGCCGACGGCACCGTGTAGCCTCCGCGGCCTACGGAACCCCTATGGTCTCCGCGACCTTGGGGCATTTACAAAGCCGTCTCGACCCCAGAGGCCGACGGCACCGTGTGGCCTCCGCGGCCTACGGAACTCCTACGGTCTCCGTGACCTCGAGGCATTCACAAAGCCGTCTCGACTCCAGTGGGCGCCGGTACCGTGTGGCCTCTGCGGCCTACGGAGCCCCTACGGTCTCCGTGACCTTGGGGCATTCACAACGCCGTCTCCACCCCAGTGGCAGACGGCACCGTGTGGCCTCCGCGGCCTACGGAACCCCTACGGTTTCCGTGACCTTGGGGCAGTTACAAAGCCGTGACGACCCCATTGGCCTCGGCGGCCTACGGAGTCCCTAACAGACCTCGTGGCAACGGAATCCCTAAGGGTCCCGCGGCTCTTGATCAGGTATGGATTAACTAAACATCGACTAAATTAGTGCAACATTAGTAATACAGTTGAAATATAAAATCCGGGGGAATACTCATATCACCTCCGTCGAACCGTAGCAAAGAGCGTCGGCAATAAACAGAATTTTATATATACAACTGTAAAAGCATGAATAATAATAAAACAAATAAATGAGAAAAAGCAAAAACGAGTCGATGTTCAAAAAGGATGAATCAATTATATATGTGTGAATTTTCGAAAGCATGGCCCTCGGATATATACACTTGGCAAAATTACATAAAATTACATCAAAAACCACCTAACAACCTAATTACATGTCCCTATTGAGACCCTTGACCTAACTCAAAAAACAGAGCGACATTCTCATATATCAGGCGTTCGGCTTCGCAAGTTAGAGAAGTGGGGTCGCCTCGCATGGCCAGACAGGGCTAGGGCCACAACGCCTCAAAATCATACTACTTCTCCGTCTCCACAATGAAGGATATCGCGCTTTCCAAAGCCACCCGAAGCTAACCAGCATACGCCCGAAGAGCCTCGATCTTGTCAGAGGACCGATCCCATTTCACAGCAACCAATGCGTAATCCCCACTTCATAGTTGCGGGGAATAAAATCCTCCGGGTCGGGTCGGGTTCGGCTAAGCCCTCATCCTTCTTTTTCTTCTGCATCTTGGCTTCGAAGGTCCGAAGGCGATTGTTAGCCAATATCTCTAACTGTATAGAGTTCTTCAGGTGGTCCTCCCACTAGGCCTCCATGTCCCTCCACAACTTATCCAGCCGGTCGTTTTCGGCCTTCGCCTTGATGACAGCCCTGCGTGCCTCGCACAGCTCTGAGGCCCTGAAAGTTTCCAAGGCCTCTTCTAGCTGGCCCTCGAGACCCGATTGTCGTCCTCGGCTCCTGTCGACGTTCGGATCCACCAAGACGCTTCCTACAGCCGCATACAGTGAAAAGTTCGTCGGGTCATGATGAGGATCGGACAATTGTAAGTCGATCCAGGGAATTCCAGACGTTTCCCAATGACTCGGAGTCGCGGGCAAGCCTCGAGAGCTTCCCTCGGGCTGAGGGGGGAAGTCCGAAGCTACGTCCTTCCCCTGTAAGGAAGCGCGTGTTAATGGAAAGGTTAGGAGGCGCGTATCCCTAAGGATAAAAATAAGTTTGAGCCGATGAACAAATACTTGATAAAAGAACATAATTATAATCATGATTGATAAATAAACGAATGTAGTTGTAACTGATAAATGAACAAGTTTGAAACAAGGAAACGAGGGGATAACGAATCGGCCGTGAATAAATTAGAAGTTCATTAATACTCGGTTAAAATTCATAGATACAACGGGGAGAGAGCCCCGAAGACAGGTGATCACTAGGAGGAATCCTAACCCTACGCATCGTTCACCTTGTCTCCACTGTTGGTGTTGGAGTCGGTCGAGGTTCCCCCTCCTCCTCGGCTTCTAGAGTTGTGCCCTTGGGGTGGAGGTGCGGGTGCGACTATCTCCGGCTCCTCATCAGGCCCCGTTGGCGTCCTCGGAGGCGTCTGCGTCCCCCTCGGCATCTGGAAGACGAACGATGGGCTGCCCAAGATATTTAGAATGTCTTCGGGCTTCGAGACGGAGGAGCAAGTCCCGGCGATCTGTTGCATGATGGGGAGATGCGCGAAGTCCATATCTCGAAAATGCTTTTGGGCCTTGCATCACAGCCTTACCGCGGACGTCTTCCCCTTCATCTCCCTATCAGCATATTTGTCGAGGATGGGTTGGATGTCCTCGTCCTTCCTCCGGGCCGCCTCGATCTCCATAACGACCTTCCTCGCCCCCCTTTCCATGGCGGAGTCCATGACGTCGTTTATTCCGAGGGCAAACTCGGACGACCCCAAATACCTTTGAACTCCGGCAAGGATGTATGCGTCCAGACGGGATTTGGGGACGCTTGTGGCCAGCAGACTCTCCATTTGAAGGCTATGGGTCAGTTCCATGCCTTCAGCTGCCCCTTCATCCTCGTGACCACCTCCTTCAGTCGCCCCCTCTCTTCCTCCAAGGCCTGAAGCCGCGTCTCTGCTTCTCGGGCTTTGTTGGCCTCGCTGACGGCCTTCCTTCTGGCCGAAGCCAACTGCCCTTCCAAGTCCGCACACATGGACACAAAGGAATTCACTGCCTGCACAGCCTGCATGACGGATACCCTTGGTCAGTAAGGAAACCCCCCAACTACGAGGAAAAAGTACTTAAGCGAAAATTCTACCTGTCTCATGCCATCCTCCAGCCGCAGCACTCCGGTGGCGGGTAAGTCCGCGCATTCGACCCGTGGAGGATCAAACGTTAGCAGGGCCTGACCCTCGGGTATGCCCTCGAACTATCCTGCACCCCGCCCTTGATCCTCGTACCCCTCCTTCAAAAGTTCGCCGATGGAGGATAGTTCGTGGGTCGAGGGCAAGCTGAAGGACAATGGGTCGACCTCCACCACCTCCGGATCTCCCCGTTTCCTTTTTTGGTGACCGAGGGGTTCCTCTTCCTCGAACTCTCTGCGCGCATCCGCGTCATTTGACCGAAGGGCGCCTAACCCATTCCCTGTTGGGGAGTTCCTTGCGGCCTCGCCTCAGGATATTGCTCCTCCTCATTTGAATCATCAAAAGCCGAGCGTTTACCCATCAGATTAGCAAATATACCTATCAACAGAAAAATAACCAAAGTTAGTCTTCGGGTAAAGTACCTTGGTTACGGGCGCTGATCGTGTCGCTTAACGACGCGATTTGCCTATAGGTGTAGGTCTTCTTCCACCCGACCAATTTCTCTAAGTCCCCCCTCCAGACTTCCATGTCTTTCTTATCCCTCTTGGTCCACGGATCTGAGCTGATCGTTCCTCCCTCGTCCTGCGTCCACGGAAAGAGGGCAACGAAGTCCGCGTCCACGTAAAAAAGCTCGACCTCCAATGCTTAGAACTCTCGTTCTTCGCTACTAATTCTTTGGACGGTCCGTGGGAATTTTTTGTGAAGCTGAACCATCCAGGGAAACTCTTCCCACACCGGACGAGTTTGTAGAAGCACCTAAATAAGAAAATATCCGGCTCCACCCCATCTTGTTACATACGTGTACGAAGGCTAACACTATGGTATGAGATTCGGGGTGTATTGGGCTAGGGGTCGGCCGTAGGCTTCCACTATCATCTGGAACATAGGCATCAGAGGAAAGTGCAGCCCGTATTCCAGAAACTTCTCGTAAATTGTGATTTTCCCCGGAGGGTGAGTGTGGCCCTCTCATGGCCTTCTGGTAAGGTGCGGTTGATAGCCGTAAGGCTATAGTTGTTTTCTAAGTGGCTTAACCTATCCTGGGTTAACGAACACTCAACGTCCTCTACCCTAACTACTTCTTTGGCCATGTGGCAAATCGAACGTACAAAAGAAGAGGGAGACTTACTTGTTAAGGGTCGGTTAGAAGCTGCTACGGTCAGTCGCTGGCCGTGACTCTGATGCCCGAACGAAAGTATGCTCTGATTTACGAAAAAGAAAAGAGAAGAGAAGAAGTCGGAGCTCTGAATGCTTAGAACTTGAGAGTAAAAGAGAGAAAAATGAATTCCGGTGTCCTGGGGGGAACTTATATACTCCACAGGAGGGGAACAGTCCCCTCGATTTTCCATCCGGCGCCATCATTATGGCGCAGTTCCCCATGAAATCCTGCACGTCCATCCCATTTGAGCGGGAAGGACCAAGGGCCGTTGGATCTAGGGCGGTTATGAGGAAGAAGATTCTGGAAGTCGGGCTTGCTTGTTGGGCCTACAATTTCTTTGTGTCAAGCCCAATCCGGCTTTGCTGTATTGGGCTTGACAGGGGCATTTGTTGGGGGCCAATCCTGACCCATCTTGACCGGCCCAACTTGCCATCCGACTTGGGCTCATCTTACAAGTCCAAGTCATCCATTTATTTTATTCCTATGGGCCCAACCGGGTCACAAGGAATTTACGCATGTCTATTTACATTCTTGCCCCTCTCGACATAGGGGCCCACCGGTATTGTCCCATTGGGACCTATAAATACTCCTTGTTCATTTATTAGTAATCCAATTCCACACTCCCATTTCTCTCTCTAAGTGTGACAATTACCTGCTTCTCTCCCTAGAACTGACTTGATCTTCGGAGTGCTAACCTCTATTTTGCAGGTTCTCGTCTAGGTCGGACCGTTGACTCTCCGCCCCTAGGATTTACCCTCGACAAATATATTTAGTGACCTCATGAATGGATTGCATATCAGCCCGCTGTGAGTCTGTGAGATTGAAAAAATAACTAAAGAGGAGGGAGAATGAGCGAAACAAAAGGAAATTAAGCCAGAATAAATGGTATAAATTTGCCAATTTCATTTCACCATCGACGTGGTCTCAAAAACGATTGACAGTGGGTTTAATTTTTTAATTTCCCTCTTTGAGGAAAGAACATATTCAACTCGCCTAATTAGGATCCTTTAAGATGATTCTTAAAAAAAAAAATTCAAAACAAATGAATAGACTCGTTGTGACTTATTGTTTATAGTCTCACGTTGGAAGGATTTCAAGATATGATTGTGTAAATATTTAAACAATATCGCCACTTTTAACCACTATACAATTTATTTTCCAATTACAATATAATAATATTATACTTTCATTGATTTATTCAAAAATATACAAAAACTTTAGTCATAAATAATTTCATACCCATGCGAATGCACGGGTCAAGAACCTACTATAACATTAAAGTGCACATGATGGGACAATAAATTAATCAAATGAACGGTGTATAATAAAGATTATAATTAATAAATTTAAATTGGGTTACTTAATATAATAGGAATAATTTGTCCTGATGATATTGTGCTCATCATCAGGTGCAGATGATTCATGTGATACGAAGTGATTAATGATTGGAGTAATAGTGATGAACAAAAGGAAAGGATGGAGTATACATTTTCTTCGGACACCGGGTGTGTAATAGACAAAAAATAATAAAAATATCATGCATAAGTTTGTAGTTTTTACTTAATTCAATGATTTTTTTAATTTTTTAATTTTTTATTTTTTTGCTTTGAACACTCAATATATGATCTCAAATGCGGTTTGTAAGTAAAAGAAATCAAAAGAAGAAAAAACAATGTTAATTATGATTAATTTTGAAGCAACTAAAACAAATCAATTTTGAAGGGAGTTCAACCAACTTAATTAATTATTTACGGAATAGAATTTTTGTCATAATTTTAGGTAAGAAACATACGTTCATTTAGCTAGAGAGATGGCCAACTAACCGGATACTGCTCTGTGATTGCTGATGGATTTTGTTGGGTTTATGTTGAACTCATCATTATATGATAAATATTTCTCCATAACATACAAATGAACATATTTTGGTAGTGATTGACGCCAACATCAAAGGCATATTTCTAATCTAAGTTTCTCCCTCAAATATGGAATAACGATTTTCCTAGTGGCGGGGAAGCCGTAACACATTTAAGCCTCATTAAAATTGATATCTTAGTGGTATATAGTTTAAAAAATATGTAGTAGCTAATGTAAGATTGTTTTTCATGTACATTAATTGTAGATAGTCATTAAAAGGGGTCTACATGCATCGAAATTTTGAATCTCTCATTTCTTTCATTGGTTCAATAGCTTGGAGTCTTATCTCCATCCTTCTCTTGCTTTTAGTATATCTTTGATGCACAAAAGTTTTTCATAGGTGCAATTTTTTTCGTCTTTTCTGTGATATAAATTAACATAGGTGCACCTGTAAAACATCAAAAGCAATTGCAATTGTAAGAAGGTTATGAGAATAACATCTTGTAAACTACTCAATAACCATACAATATCTAAATGGTTCAAATCAAAAGTGGAAACTTCAATTGCTTATTCTAGCCACCCACTAACACCAACATTCCAAAGTGGAAAGTATCAACATACATTAACATATATTTATATATTTACATAAAGCACTTCACTGATTTCAACATTTTTAGTGTGAAACAATCCCCTTTTATACTTCGATTTACTTTGACATATAGTGAAAAGTATAAATGAAACATATTAAGCTATCTATTAACCACACATTGCGAGCATTGGATGGGAACAATTAATTGTTTATCGAACCAAAAATAGCTAGGGCTTTGGTTGTCCAACTGTTTATTTTACTTTTTGTCTCATTTTACCTCTTAAATACAAAACCTAGTACACTATCTAAACAACATTTTAATTTACCCCTTAAATTGTTGCGTTTGGTCATTACACTATTGTAAAATCTTCATTTTGGTCACTGAACTATGGTAAAGTCTTTATAGCGTTGGACACTAAACTATTGTAAAGTCATGTGTTTGGTCAATACACTATTGTAAGTTCATTTGGTCACTGAATTATTTTAATTTCATTAATAGTTACTATGCTATAATACTTTCCAACTAAAAAACTAAACTACATATTAAATCTCCTCCCAAATCAAAATAAAAAACTAAAACAAACTGTTGTCCAAACACCACATAGATAACTTTAAAAACATTTCAAGTGGCAAAAAGTAAAAGCCAAAATATATATAACCCCATGAATATTATAAGATATAAATAGGATATATGATGAAGCAAACGTACAATGGACCAGGCTACATCATTCATACGCATACATGTTGTGGTGCATTTCGGATGTATATGAGAACTACATACACACAAATAAATAATAAAAACCTTGTTTGCACGCACTCAAGACCTAAGAGGAAGCCCGTCGTTGTGTCGTGCAAGTAAGAGTCGATCTCACGATGAGGCTATTTCCTAAATTAGTGCTAAATTGTGAGGGATTGAGAAAAGAAATGATTTCACACACAAGAATGATAATACACAAAAATAAGAGTTGAAAGATAGAAATGAAATAACAAGGAAAGCAAAATAACTAAAGTAAAGTAGGGCTAGGATAATAGGAAGGACAACAAGGTTATTAATGTGTTCCGAAGATGTGATGAAGGTCGTGTTCATTCAACCTAACTATGTCAATAAGATTTTAGAGACTACGGAGCCATTGCCTTTTATACCCCTAACTTCTATTCCTAGTTGTTAGAACTCAATGCTAGAATCTTCTTTCGATCTCATCTAGCCATTAGATAAGTGTGGTGGTTTAGGCCCATCGATTCACTCTTTACACTTCCGTGTCGTAGACTTACTACAATCTCAAATCCAAGTGGTTTTACTTTCCATGTAATCAAAGACTACAAAAACCTATAGCACATAAGCATGCATATCATATTTCATCATTGGGCTCAAGCAATAATTCAAACAAAATCGCCAATGAATGATGTTTCATTGAGAGATGATGTTGTTTTTCTCTCTAGTTTCTATGCCTAGTCACTAGAATAGTATGACTAACCCCCTATGCCTAGGTGACCTTAGCCAATTAGGTTGAGAACATTAATATCTTTTATCCACCCATTCATTCCATTTATGTCTAAAGTAGAATTAAGAGTTCGAATATTTAAGTCACACCACTATGAAGATAAAGAGTCATTCATAAAGGTTCTAAAGCATTCAATTCAAAGGTACCATTCAAATTGTATGCTATAATACTAAAGAACTAATTATTGAACTCAAATCACACACATCTCATGACTTACATGGCATAAATTAGGAGAAAGAATAATGAACCAAACATCTGCTTAGAAACTATGCATTTTAACAACCATAAGGATAAACACAACTCATAATGAATGAATCACAAGTGAAGATAAAAAGGATAAGAAAAGTTCCCTTTTCTAAGGAGAAACTAAATTCATGCTCCAATTTTCTCCACAAATCTAATAACTCCATAAAATAGCAAAAGAGTTGGTGTCTTCTCCTTAATCATGGACCTTGAATAAAAGTCCTAAACTAATGTCCAAGCCCCTTAATTATTTACATCTTAGAAAGTCTAATTTAAAATCACAAAATAAAAACCCTAGCTAAGAACTATGAAGTAAAAGAGGAGAAAATATGCTAGGGTGCTTTGGCTAAAAAATGGGGTAAAAAAAGGAGTAGAGAGATCTATAATTTTTTTTTTTTGGTAAAGAAAAATGTCGAGATCGGATTCTCAAAATCCGACCTACTAATTAAATTAATAGTTCGGATTTTAAGAATCCGATTTAATAAAATAACAATTTTTATTTCCGGAAAATATATATGAGAAAAATGTATTAGAAGTCAAATAAAGAACAGTCAAAGGTCGGATTTTAGGAATCCGACTTTGTTTATTTTCATAAAAAAAATACAGGCGGGAGATTTGAAAATTAAGAACAGTACAACATCGGATTTACAAAATCCGATCTTATTTAAGCATACCTAACAGTAGGTATTGGCATTGAATGGACGTTATTAGCTGGCAGAAGATCGGATTCTTGAAATCCGGCCTTACATGTAAATCGGATTTTCTAAATCCGATTTTATAAGTAAAATCGAATTTTAGAAATCCGACTTTATTGTGTTATAATGGGGCGACGGAAAACACTGTTCACATATCGGGATTTTTGGTAAAGTAGGCTATTTCTTGAAGGAGGAGGTGATTTTAGTGGCGATTTGAAGATTTTGTTCACGATTCTTCGCAACGGATGTCTTAAAACCATTTCATAAGAAGGTTAGTTAATGTTTTGATGTATTTAGAATTATTTTTGTTATTTTCTGTGTAAAAGTTTAGAACTAGGATGATTTATAAGGTTTTAGGGTTGATGTTGGGTGTAGTTGATGATTGTTGTTGTATACGTGGTATTGAACGTTCAATCTAGTAAAATGCTTGAATTTGGCCTAAACTTTTGAATTTGTAGGGGGTTTAGTAAATTTAGTGTTGATTATGCCTTGTTTGTGGTAATTGTTATAATAAGTTGTTTGATAATGCCTTGTTTGTGTCATTTTTTTAATAATTTGTTCATGATGTGTTGTAATTCATGTAATCAATGAGATATAAATGGCGTTTAACGGTCCATATTTCATTAATGTCTATTGGTCGAGCAAATTTGTAGTGAAGAATGGGATTGTGAATAGTTTTAACAACATGCCGGACGATTCCTTTGTGATTGATCATAAGTTATTGTACAATGATTTGGTTGGACTGATTTGTGAAAGAGTGGGGTGGAATAGAAAGAATGTGAATTTGAGTCTATCGATTTTGTATGATACGATGCGCAATGGTTTTAGGCGTATCGCCAAAATCAAGGACGACGCATCGTTGCAAGTGTTGTATTTCCTCCCAAGTTCGACATATATTGATTTGTATGTAGATTTGGAGGTGGCGGGTACTTCTAGGTCCCATTTGGAAGTAGGGACAAGTAGTGGTAGGCAGAATGTGGAGAATGTCGATTACATGGAAGATGATGATGTGGGTGGACAGTTTATGGAGGATGGCGATCACATGGAATATGATCACGGTGAAGATGATGAGGACTACACATCGATAAGTGATCAAAGCGATGAAAACCAATCAATATCCGAAGGAAGTCGGGAGAGTGATGAAGAGGTCGAAGACAAATTCGCCACAAAGGATAGGCACATATATCGTTCACAGGGTACGTGGGATCATACAAAAGTGGACAAGGATGATTTTCAACTTATCATGTGGGATGGGACAACCGCAACAATTGGGATAGGGACTTGTTTCAAGAATAAGGAAGAAGCAAAAAATGGTATTGCAGCGTGGAACATAGAGCAAAAGAGAGAGTTTTATGTGAAGGAAAGTGATGGTTCAACATAGTCTATTTGGTGCAAATCCCTAAAAGAGTCAACCCCTAAGGGTTATGTTCCTTGCCGTTGGAAGGTACGTGCCTCCTTGAGAGACCACGGTTTGTGGGAGATTGTGAAATGGGTGCCCGAGCACAATTGTATGAATGTCACCGAGGATAACAATAATCGGAATGTGAGCGCAACGCTTATTGCGTATCTCATAAGGCATAAGGTTGAGTTGGACCCAGATTATGAAGTGAAGCTAGTTCAGGAAGAAGTGAAAGACCGTATGCATGTCGATGTTCCTTACCATAGGGCATGGGAGGGAAGGAGAAAAGCTATCGATCTTGTTTACGGCGACTGGGTTTCCAATTTTGACATACTTCCAAGGTATTTACTTAAGTCCTATCTAATTTTTTTGATTTGTTTGTAATTTAGGAATAAAATAAGGATTAATTTTTTTATTTTAATTTAGATTTTTCGCCGCCCTAGAGAAGAGCAACCCGGCACGGATTGTAGAGTGGGAATGGCAACCGGGTTGGACCGATATAGAGAGGACGTTCAAATACATTTTTGGGCATTCAAGCCTGCAATTGATTGTTTTGCTAAATGTCCTCCGGTGATTAGTATCGACGGACGCACTTGCGCGGCGGATACAAAGGTAAATTACTTGCTGCAATGGTCAAAACTGCGAATAAGCGCATCCTGCCAATTGCATATGCGATCGTGGATGAAGAGAGTGAGGAAAGTTGGTCATTCTTCTTGAAGCATTTGAGGAATCATGTTATATCCGACCGGCCTGTGTGTGTTATATCCGATCGGCACAAGGGTATCATCAGTGCAATACGCCTAATGCCCGAATGGAATGCATACTACCGGTTTTGCCTTCGTCACGTCCGTAGTAACTTGGTGGCGCAGTTTCGAAGTAAAAAGATCAAAAGGTTGTGTTGGGAGATGGGCACGAAACTTTCTAAGTCTAAATTCAAAGAACTAAGGAATGAGCTACGTGATTTTAGCAATGATGCTTATTTGTATCTCGAGGAGATTGATGCTTGTCAGTGGACTCTTGCCAAAGACAAACACTATCGTTGGGGTAACCAGACAACGAACATTTCTGAGAGCTACAACAACGTCCTCAAGGGTGTTCGTTTCTTGCCAATCCGGGCTTTGGTGGAAGCTACTTTTATTAAGACTGTGGATTTGTTCCAGGAAGAATACGTGAAGTCGAGGAAATGTATTACTCCGGTCCCAACTAACTTATGGGAAGACTTCAAGAAAAAAGAAAAGAAAGCCGCGCAACACAAAGTCAACCGTTATGGTGCTATTAATGGCAAGTTCAAGGTGAAAAGTAGAGCCCGACTTGGTGGTAAAGGGGATTTATGCTTACCCGGACTTGGTGGTAAAGTAGAGTCCGATTTAAGCTTACCCGGATTTATGAAATCCGGCCTTAATGTAAAATCGGATTTTAAAAATCCGACTTCGGTCAAAATTTTATTTCAAAAAAAAACTAAGTGTTTTTCGGAAAATATATTATTTTAATATATTAGGGTCGGATTTTAGAAATCCGATTTTCTTTTAATCTTGATTAATTTCATTAATTTTTCGTATTCAGCGTAGGTCGGATTTGCCAAATCCGATTTAGGTCAAAAATCGGATTTTAGAAATCCGATATCGGTATTTTTCTTTTCCCCAAAATTCGACCTATATTTATCTCTACTCCTTTTTTTGAACCATTTTTTAACTCAAAAACTCAAATATGCTAAGAGGGTTTCTAAAGATGAACTAAAGAGAGGAGATTCGCTTCTAATTTGATACAAAATGAGTATTTATAGGCAAATGGACGGATGGACTAAAATGAATAAGTAGAGAATTAGCTAGGCTAAATTGGAATTTCTTCAAAGTTGGAAGTCGGACTTATGGAGTACCATTTGGAACTTCTGTGCAGCTTTGAACTAATATTTATGTTTCTAAAAGTTCAGACCTTTGCTGCACATGACAAGGAAAGGAGGGATCAAGTTTGCAATTTTTGAAAATTTCTTTCTTCTTCCATTCGACTGCCTGCATCCCCTAGTAGATGAAAAGAAAAAAGTCAATTCAGTAAAAAACAAGGATGACAAAGCAATTTCGTTTTAGTTTCCTTTAGCACGTGGCAAACACGTGACAAAGCATTCTGAAATCTGATGAATCCGTTGTCACGGCACACTGAGCAGAAACTACGAACCGGATGATCGAAGGATGAATTCCTCTCATGGAGTTTCTTCTTCGATTGTTCGCCTCAACATTGGTAAATTCTTGTCTCCGCTTCCATTAGTTTTTTGTTATCAAATTTTATCATTTATAGTCAGAACATGCATGTTTTTCGTTGGACTTGATTGAGTAGATGAAACGGCGATTCTTGATATTTTGAGGATGTTGTGTGTTTAGTGCTTGATTTTCATCTGATTTGAAGGAGGGAAGAAATTTAGTACAACGGTTGATACCTTAACTCACCGTGAGCCAGAATCGATGCTGGGGGCAATGTTTAGCGGCCGGCACATTGTTTGCCAGGAGGAGTCCGACAAGGTATGGACCGTTTTATCTTATGGGTTTAGCATCCATTTTGTTTAATTTCTCCTAAAGTTGTCTGAAATGATATTTGATGTTGAAATGTAGCAACTAGTTTGGGGTTTTGTCGGTTGTTTTTTGGGAATGATTCTTCTGTAGACTTAAATAGAAGAGTCTGGTTTAAAGTTTGATTTTTTGTGTAACCAATTAGTATGGTATTATCGAGGGATTAATCAGGAATCTGCTGAATGTGAAGGAAATAAAATTACCTTCACTGTAGAAGGTATAGTTAGGGGCACTGGTCGTGTATAATGTAAAAAGTAAGTCAATATTTGCATACGTTTTGTAGGTTGTGGTGTCTAAAATTCGCTAGGTTAATCAATAATTATCCAAATTTTTAGAACTGTTTCAGAATTATACTTCATATAGCTTCGGTTATGCCGTGTGGTTTAGGAACTCATGACTACCTGAAAGGAACCTTTCTGTTTAGTTGAGTGTACAATTCATTGCATAACATATTGAGTACTTCTGGAGAATGGATGAATAATTGAAAACTTTAGAATACTGACAATGTAGAAGTTCTTACAAAACAGAATGACCTAGCAAATTTTAAGATAGTTCTACGATGAACTTAGGAGTGTTTTCCCGCAAATCTCATTTTGCTCAGTAATGACCAAATCTACAGGATCAATTCATCTGTATTATCCATCTAGAAAGAGCTACAATTTGACAGTCTAAAGAAAGTATGAAAGGTTTCTTTAGCCTGCCAACACTTTTTCTTTTGCATGGTCTCCTATTTTTTAGCTCTCACTCTATTCATGCCTTGGCTCCAAATTTTTAGTTTCCAATACAATTGAATGCTTAGTTCCATATCTTTAGTTTTCTTTAGAAAAGACATTGAGTTCTGCATATGAATGGGCGCAGAACAAAAGCCTTTGTCTTCGTTAATATTAGGCAAAATGTTTGGATAGAATGGAGGAAACGAGAAAGGAAGCCAAAACGTAAGGAATTTGCATGATCCTATTTCCTGTACTAACCTGTAGAATTATATTGACACATGAGATTATTTCAAGATTGCAAACTAAGCATTTACCGCATAGATTCAAGGTTCCCTTGGCGAGCACACATTTTACATGGCGTCGTACAAAAGAACTGCTAAGTAAAGGAATAAAAACTAACAAATTCTTTCGTAAGACCCATACTCAAAACACTTCAATTTGAGGAAGATGATGATTGTCTAGACTTTAATTTGGGGTAGTCTGTTAGGTCATATCATTAATCAGGCTTTTTGCAGTGAAACCGTGAGTTTATGATGCATGTTTGAGAGGATTTTGCTCTTCTGCAGGGATACATTTTCATTGATAGGGATGGCAAGCATTTTCGTCATATTTTGAACTGGTTGAGGGATGGTGTTATTCCAATCTTGAAAGATTCTGATTATCTGGAGCTCTTACGGGAGGCAGAATATTTCCAGCTTCTTGTAAGTTAGCCGTGAAATAATTTTGTTTCTCTCTGATGTGAGAATTAGTTGTCCAGAAATTGATTATCCTCTGTCTTTGAAATGTATGGTATAGTTGTTTTAGTTTGTTTTTCTCAATTAATCTCTATCGCTAGACCATTTGTTCAGGAACTTTCATGAATCATGATCCATATCAGAGTAAAGTCCAGGAACATATTCATGTAGTCATTTTCCAGTTAGCATTAGCATGATTCAGGCTTCGAAGTCCATTGCGCTGCTGAATCTAAAGATAATTCTCTCTACCCCTTGCCACTAGTGGCAAACTTGTAGAGAAGAGTTACCTCCTTACACTGTCTGCTTTAGATTCTTATGTTGGTGTTTCAAATAAATAACTCATTTTGTATGTTTGTTTTTAAGTACTGTATTTATGTCAAAGGGAAATAGTGGGATAAGGCTCGTTGTTGTTTCGCAAATAGAATGTCACAAACAAGCTGGTTTTTCTTAATTTTCTATTCAAAGTGATAGTCGGATATGTTTGATCCAGGGATTAATTGACGGAATCAAAGTTGCTCTGAGTTGTAAGAAGAAGGACGATGAAGAATTAGGCACTGAATTGACTCGGATTGATATCATCAAATGTATACAGTCTGAGAAAGTTCGGTTCCGAGGAGTTAATCTTTCTGGTCTTGATCTTTCGAAGCTGGTATCAATGTTTATCTCTTTTCTTTTGTTTACTAGATGAACTGCAGTTTACCCATCTGAACAATGAAGTACGACATGTAATAAGTTAGTATGACCTCATGTATAACCTGGTTATGTGCGTAAGTTTATGCATGTGCTCACAAGGAAAGATATAAGTGATTATAAGTAGTACAAAATTTGAATAAGGAAAGTTGTAGCACTTTCACTTTCTGGCATCAAATATCTTTTCCTTACTGATCAAGTTCCTGATTATATTATTTACCTTTGTTGAATATGATCCATTTGGTGAACTTCAGATGGTGGGATTATGGCGGCTTAGTTGTGTTCTTAATGTTTAAAGAGCAGTTTCAGTGTGACCTTGTTTAACCAGTACCACCTGATACATTTTTTTAAATTTCTTCTCTGTGCTATGAAGTAGTTATGGTGATTCATTTCAGGATCTGTCATTTGTGGACTTCAGTTATGCATGTCTTAAAGGAGTGTTCTTTTCACGTGCCAATCTTCAGTGTGCGAAATTCAGGGTTAGTATTCCTTCTACTCCAGTCATTCTTTATCATCCTCCATTCTTCTGTATATCTCATGATGTAGATGTGTACTTTAGAGCTGACTTTAGCTTGCATTTATTTTTGAAAACCTGCAGCATCATTTTCAAAATGATGTATGAAAAATAGTACAAGTTTTAAGTTTATTACAGCGAAATAAATAGATCCACTTATGCTGAAAGGTTGCTATTCCTTTCTGCTAGTTATCTGTTGGAGTCTTATGTAGTGATTTGGTGCAGCATTTTGATTAACAGAGACCAATGGCTAGAATTTTTTTTATTCTGCTGATCTTTAGTCTCAATTTGGGATTATACAATAAATTGCATGTGCAATGAATGTGGTTATTTTTGTGCATAAGTTTGCGTAGTTGTATAGTAGATTGGTTTGCTTGATATCCATTATGTGATTTCATGTCTAGACTTCTCATCAACTACTGGTGGTTAAATTTATTTATTTATTTATTTTTTGAATCATTTTTCTGTTGCTTTGTTCCAATTGTTCGACACATTGAAACTGCAACTCGTCATGCTCATGGCAGGATGTAGATGCTGAGGCATCCAATTTTCACAATGCCGCATTGCGCGAGTAAGAACTGTTATTCTGCTTTACATTGGATAATCTTCTATTCCTCTTGAATCATTGGCATTATTATTGCCAAATTGACCGAGTTTTGTTCATTGTCCTGATGTACTTTGACTGCATTCTCTCTAGTATCCTGTCATGCACATGGAATTTGTTTTCTTGTTGTACTTAAAGGATATTATGCCTCGCCTAGGGAAGGTGTGAATTCACTGGAGCAAACCTTCGCGGAGCATTGTTAGCTGGTGCCAATCTTCAAAGTGCAAACCTACAAGGTAATTTGCTCTTACTGATGTGTGGCCTCCATCCATATCTCATCTCAAACCATTGTTATTTGTACTTACTGCTGCCGTGAATCCTGTGGTCCTTGAATAGCTGTATGCTGATATTATTCTCATAGGAACTATACATAACTGACATTGTGTACTAGTTGTGAGAGGAAATTCTTTTTAGTTCGAGTATCATCAGGGATATATGCCGCTGAGGGATGATGGCTAGATTTGAAAATGCCAGTCGAAGTTTTTGCTGTGATGACCATAAGAATAAGGAGATAGGGAACTGCCATATTCTATTTTGATATGTAGTAGAGCCTCCTTTCTTTAATTAGTTTATTTTCAGTGTACAGTTTAAATGATGTAATGTGATAAGGGCTAAATGCAATTTAGAGCTTGGATGGAAGCATTAGTATATATACATGTTTCTCTATGAGTAGATTTAATCGGTGGTATCAGGGATGCCACGTGATAATTATATGTTTATTAAGAGGGCAATTCTCAAAGTTAGTTGGCGTAGCCAGATGATATGCATCTATTTAATTTGATATACTATCATTTGAGGAAACACGGGGAAGTGGTAAAGGTGTCAAAAGTAGCACTTTGGACTGTTTGATGAAACAGGGTACTTGTTGGTGCTGTTGATTGTAAAGTATCCTGAAACTATAGTTATAGTTTATGAAATCATTACAATTAAAACCAGGAACACTTAAGGGTTGGAGTGTCAGGTTACTGCAGCAAAAATTGAATGTTGAGATGGATTTTCATGCACAATAGATTAATAGGATTAGCTATATTAATGCATTGGAAAAATGGCAGTGCAACCTTAAATAGATAATGGACCAAGTGATCTCTGTGACATGTACGGGGACCTTTAGATTCGACCCCTGCGATATGCTGGACTAGGCAACCTCCTGTAAAGACTGCCCCCAATAACGCATGTAAATGAATATCACTATTTAGAAGAAAGAAAGGACAGGCAAACCTTTACTGAATTTGTAAGGGAGTATTTATACAAAACATGGTAATTTTAAAATATACTTCAGAACACTTAATTGGAAGAGCATAGTGACATCTTATCCTGTATACCCTGTATCTGCCCTGCATTAAGGGATGCAAATCTTAGTTATTATTTGTGTATAAATGATATCTTTAGTACCTATTTTTTCTCCTTGTTTTGTGTTCACTTAAATCTGTGGGTTTTATGACACCACCTTTGGTATTCTTCAGATGCATGCTTAATAGATTGTAGCTTTTGTGGAGCCGATCTGCGATCAGCACATTTGCAGGTGTTAATCTTCATTATACTATTTCTTTTAAAGTTCAATTGTTTCCTAGGAGCTAAGTCTCAAAATTCATCTCTGGTGTGTGTCGATCTTGATATGGTACAAGAATTAGTTCTTTGTATCAGTTGATTTATTTGTTAGTAACTGCTGTATTTAATTAAACTGGTAATGCACAAAACAGATACACAGATTCACGTGAGACTTTACTTAAATAGTACAATCATGAAATTTTTAAGCCAACAGTTCTTTATGTCCTAGTAAATAGATGGCATTAAAGTTTTGTGGGAGGCTACATTTTCACCGGAATACAACGATTAGGAGCGAGCAATGGCTGACTTCATGATGGTGGGCTCCCCTTGATGAGATTTACTTTTGGCCTGGTGTCAGGATTTTTGCTCTCTCTTATTTAGCTTTCTACTTCTCTGTCTAGACATTTCCCGTTTCCGTTCTACCACTTTGAATCTAGTCACCTTGTCAAGATATTTAATAACTTGATACAAAGCTCTCAACAAGTAAGAGGCTTAGACTTCTTTATATTGACTTAAGTCAATACGAAGACACATGTTCTTTCTTTTAATTTCCCCCAGCCATCACTTAAGCAATGGAGTTTGCTGAGGGCGTAGTTCATTGTGACATTTTCTTCCTGAAATCATGCTCCACTCCCTAGTGAGCTCATAGGTTGCTCGTTGCAGAACAACGAGTCTTACCCAGTTCAGCTTCTACTTTTTGAACTTCTTTCATTCCTTTCCTGACCTGCACTCTTCGGGTCTCTGCTAAATATCCTCCTCTTATGTGTACCACTTGCAAGATTTCTTATTCTTAGCAAATAACGTAAAAAGTATACCTAAAGTTTACACAAAACATATATTGCCGAAAATTGCTATAGGAACTTCAAAGTTGGATCTTACATTTAATTTCATGTTATGGAGTATGGATGCATTTGATCATACATCTGTTATAAAGGCTTTGGGTTCACTTGCAAATAATCACTGGTAAATACAACTATGGGATACTCTAAGCTCCATCTAACAGAATAACTGGTGTTTGTAATCATTTTTTAACATTTTGTTGCATACGAAATCAACTTAAGTCAATATGTGAACTTTGTGAGATGTTAGCTTTAGTTTATAAAACTTTTTTTTTTGGGACAAGCAATTTGATATACACAATGCAAGATATGCTGTTTTCTGTTATGATGTTTTTAAAGCACGAAGGTGAAGAAATGATAGAGTTACTGTATTATCTACAAAATAACATGTCCTTCACAAATAGGTATTCCCTAAGAGCATAAGTTGTACGAAAACAATTGGGGACCAAATGTCCATCTTAGAGTTTGATTCTGGGGTTTTTTTGAGCCATAGAAGGTTTTCAGACAGACTTCCATTCCATTGATGGAAATGTATACCTTAAAAAACTGATATGCAATCCTGCTTGACATTTTCCGTAGTAGCTAAATTGATGATGCCATTTTTCCTGCATTGAAGAGCCAATTTATCGTCCAACAATCTAAAGCTGTACTTTCTGTGCTTCTATGTAATGGTCATTGAAAGATCTGTATGTTTATATGTGACGTTGAGTTGCAGATACCATATTATGGAAAATAGAAAAGTGAGACAATTTGTGGTACGATTTTGTTCGCCTGTACGTGTGCAGTTGCTTTTTTTTATCCATTTATTTATTTTCCTTTGCTCCGATTGCCTCTTCTGTTAACTTAGAAACTTTTCAGACTGCTGATCTAACCAATGCCAACTTGGAAGGAGCAAATCTGGAAGGAGCTAATCTGAAGGTAGTGGTGCATCTGTTGCAACTAAATGCCACGAAAAATATCCATAGGGAATTTTCTGTTTTTGAGTGCTTTAAATGTTTATTCCTTAAATATTGTTCTCTGATTCTTTTGGAGGCACATATTGTTCTAGGTATGATTACTTTGAAAGTAATATTGTGTTGATGGTATTTTTTGTTCATGTTCGAGCCTTGAATTTTGTGCCCTCTTAAAATTTGGAATAATGACTGTAAAATAATTGAAGGAACACTTTAGAAACCGAGGTCAGATTTCAAACCAATTGAATCAATTGATTAAGTGATAAATAAACTCAAATTATAACAATCTTCCCAAACTCAGCATCCTAGCTTAATGAACTAAACAAGATATAAGAGCATTCGCAATCCAATGCTTACTATGAACTAATTTGTGATGCGACAATTATGAGGGAAAATTCTTTTTGAATTGGCATCACAGTTACAAGGACAATTTAAAACTTTTCCTGTGTATTATCTGTGTTTATGCTTCTAGTGTTGCTTCTGACATGTTTCCATGTTTGTTGCGATTGAAGGGTGCAAAGTTATATAATGCAAATTTGAAGGGTGCAAATCTTCAAAGAGCTTATCTTCGCCATGTGAATCTTCGTGATGCTGTAAGTGAAGCATGGCCTCATGATTTCATTATGTTGTTTTATGATCCTTGTTTGATTGGTTAAAACTCCAATGTTACACTCAGTTTCTAATTTCCATTCATTGGCAAGTTCTACTTTGAGTTTGCAAAAGGGTACATGTACCTAGCAATAAAATGCTAGTTTTTTCTTTTTTTTAAAAAAAAAAATTGCTATCCATGGAATAGTTATTTTGGCCTACTGATTTATTTTTTGGAACTGAAAGCACGTTGCTCTTTTTGGAAATTCTTATTCGTGTGTCATAATTCATGTTTGTTGATAGAATTTTGTGTGTTCTTATTTGTGTTTGTTGATAGAATTTTGTGTTGTGATTTGTGTTTATTGATAGTTGAACTGTATCTTCAATCCTCCGCTCTGTTATTGAGAACTTCCTGTAAACTATAGCATGGATCTATGTGACTGTTCTTGGATTGGTGTAACGTTACCCTCAAATGGTATTGATGGTGGAAAGAAGAATAATGGAAGAAACATTGGAAAAGTAAAATAATGTGAACTTGAAAATGTTGTTACAACTATTGCATATGTACATCTTTTCTTGCCGGCATGATTCTTGCATGCAAAACCTTGTTTTTTTGGCCTCTTAAAAAACTGAATAAATTAATAAATAAAATAAAGCCACTTTTAATCCTTAACAACATTTTCATAGTGTAATGTTTTGGTTCCTAGTCCATTTCACATCTTCATTATTTGTCAAAAGTGACATCAAAACTATCAAAACATAATGATAGAAAAAAGAAATAAAAGAATTTTTGAAGCAGAGATCAACATAAAGACATCAAAATAAACTAAAATTGACCTTTTAGAAGCTTGTACCAGAAATGAAGCGGATATCTATATGATCACTTTCTTATCTAAAAGGTGGCCTTCAGTTTTCTACTTGTTTCTATGAAACTGAATGTGAGTATACTACATTTGTCAATATATCTTGTCAATTTTGTAAAAGTTTTAAAGAAATTTGCATAATGTGGCGTTTTCTCTACCTGAAAAAGAGTCACCTATGGAGGGAGTGTTGGATTATGTGGTAAATGTACTAGTTGTACATTGATTCTGCACCCATGTCGGGTGCAAATGCAGGATTCAAGGGTAGGGCTCGGCAAATTTTTAGGAAAAAGATGGGGTTTCGGTTCAAATAGAAGAGGATTCGTGCTACACCCACAACCTTGTCGACATGGATCTTATTGGGGCAAAGTTCTGAGTGCATGTAACTTAGATCAATTTGAAAAATGTCTGCTTGTAGAGTATAGGTTGAAAAAGTTCATTAGCCAACAGTTACACATTGGTGATTGGATGCTACATAATGTAGGATTACAAATCCTGCAATGTTTAGCAGTTTAAATTTTTCCTGATTTTAAATGTGGCACATCTGAAGCAAAGATTTTGTATGTTAACACGTTTAAAATCTTTGTTTGGCTTTGTTATGTCCCGTTGCTCTGTATTTACCAATCATCTATGGTAACAGCAACTGGATGGCGCAAAGCTTGATGGTGCCAATCTATTGGGAGCAATCAGATGAAGACGGGAAATGGGGAACCTGGAGTGTCGGATGCTGGCTGTTGGTCCCCTAGAACGTTGATCTCTGGATGGGATGGGGCAATTTCATGTCGTCGTTCACAAGGCAATCGTTTCTTTTGGCTCTACTTTGAATTTAGTGGCAACGCGTAGAGGCAAGAATTCTATAGATCAAATGTGAATTGTACAAAAATCATGTAATGTTGACTTAAATACTAGTACTAGATTAGATGAAAGGGGCTTGATTTGTAACTTTTATCTGAGGCTGCGTTTGTGAAAGGGTCGACTTCACTCTGAGTACGAGCTATATGTAATTGGACAAGTAAGAGCAGCCTGAATTCGCTTTTTTCTTTCTTTTTTTTTTTCGCATATTTGTATGGTGATGCTAAATTGTAGGCTTGTAGAATTGTTAAGAGTACCAAAAAAAAAAAAAAAAAGTTTCACATGTATCAAATTTTTTTTCTACTTTTTTTCCATTAAAAATTATCATTATTCAATGTCTAAGGACTTACTTCAAAGGTCAAACGTGTTCTTGAACTGAGAAGCTAGTATGAATTTAATTCTTAATTCAAATATATATGTATTACAATTGTACTATTTCTTTGAGGAAAAAAAAGTACTCCCTCCGTCCCATAATTATTGTTCTGTTTGTCAAAAAAATTTTGTCCCAAAATTATTGTCCGATTTTACTTTTTATTGGTGGAGTTACACATATACCCTTTAATCCCAAAAGGAAAAACACTAACAGAAACATCTTCCTCCATGACTTACGCAAACGGTAGAAACGAAAAGTTAACTGTAGTAGCAAACACAGGCTCTTTTCCGGTGGCTCTAGGCGGCGGTGGACACAGGCTCCTCTCCGGTGGCTCCAGGCGGCGGTGGAGGTGAGGTGGCCTGCCGGTTGTCAGAAAGAAATCTGGAGAAGAAATTCCGAAAAAAACGAAGTCGAAACTGCAGTTGATGGATTCAAACGGTGAAATAGAATAAATCATCTGGATCGAGGAGCATTAGATTGAAACTCAGATTAAAAACTTTCTCCAAATTCGAATCAATTCATCCGAGAATTTAATTCGATTGGCATAAGCGGTGGCTCATAGTTGAATAACTCCGATCTAATCGATCTAAAAATTTTCTGTTTGTCTTAGATATCAAATTGAAACGTCGAGCAGAAACTTCTCCAAATTTGAAGTTCATCTAAATTGGTTTGATCATGGCTTGGTTCCTGACTAAAGAAAAGGTGAAAGAATTTTTATTCTTGTGCTCTGAAATCGATTTTGGATCTGGGAGTCAAAGTGAAAAAGAAGTGAAGAGTTCTTCCCCAAAATCTTTCGCTGGTTAACCATTTATATATTTAGGGGTATTTTTGGAAGTTTGTGGCAAAATTTGGTTAAGTTTAACTGAAAATAAATTCTTGTATCTTAACAAAATTGGACAATAATTTTGGAACGGAGGGAGTATTACAATTTGAAACATAACACTTAACACTTAATCAGATATGAATACTGTAGAAACTTAAAATATAACTTATTCGAGAAATAGTCCTACTTTTGTCACGAAACATCCCCGCGGTGCACGGCTAATTCATCTATTCAGTTTTATACAAACTTTTGGTCCGAAACAATTTTTTTACAATTCAGTGTTTATAGTGCAGTATTTGAAATGTAATTTTGATTGTGAAAATATGTTAAAAAAAAAGTGCAGTTGGAAGATAAAAAATATTAATTAAAAATGAGGAAGTAGAGTGAAACAAACAAATGTTACTAATGGCTATATTTATGCACCCCAAAAGAAAAGGGGAAAAAAACGGAAGAAGCTCTCATGGAATTAATTAAAAATAATAATAAATGATGGCGCACGTGGGAACAAACTTTATGATAAAAAACCATGGGCAGAAAGAAAGGAAGCTGATGGGGTTGGTAGGTGAGACTTGGGAGTGAGTTGAGTCTGAGATATTGAAAAATCATTCCTTATTTGCTTCCCCCCGCCATTGTTGTCTTCACCTACCTTTTGTTTTCTCCGAAACTGATCCATTCTTTTCTTCCTATATTGACAACTACTACAAAGATTCTCCTTTTTGGTACCATTTTCACTTGATGCCAATTTTTGTTTCTTTTTCCCCTTAAGAATTGGGTTTGTTGTTGAGAATTTTAATTGAATTTGTTCAAATCTGTTGTTGGAGAGCAGGCGTTTTTGCAACGATGGATTTCTTGGAAACCACAGAAGCCCAGATTCTTGGTATTGCTGTGGCAGTTGTTGCTGTTGGTGCTGCTGCTTTTTACTTGTTCTCCTCCAAGAAATCTAAAGGTGGGTCTTTCAGTACTATGTATCCAGATTCATTCTCGTGTGATTTGGAAGTTGTGTAAAGAATCTATCTTTTGTAGATAGGTTACTATACTTGAATGGTTTGACATTGTTTTTGTTTTTCACTTTTATGTTGTGGGTTTTACTTCTTAAGATAGAGTTCTTGAATTTTGAATGGATATGTTGGCTGCCCAGTTAGTACTTGTGGTGTTTTTTATTCTTTTGTGACCAGAGTGGTTCTTTTGGGAGCTCTTGACGTTCTGTTTTACTTTATGATCAGTCTGTTTAGATCCCGAGAACTGGAAAAAATTCAAACTTGTGAAGCGTGATCAGCTTAGCCACAATGTCGCAAAGTTCAGATTTGAACTTCCAACACCCACTTCTGTATTGGGGCTTCCCATTGGACAACATATCAGCTGCAAGTAATGATGTTTCTAATAACTTACTGTTTCTGATGTAGATGATATTTCAGGGCTTTAGTTCTTAATTTCTTTCTGCTGTTTTTGGTGTGAGTAGGGGAACAGATAGTCAAGGTGAAGAGGTCATTAAGCCATATACTCCCACAACCTTGGATTCTGATGTTGGATATTTTGAACTAGTTATAAAGGTGAATGTCATTTGATTAAATTTTGAATGGTTAAGAGTTCTTTTGTCTTAAAACTAATTCATCTTTTGCTTTTTGGATTTTGTAAAACATTTAGATGTATCCTCAAGGACGGATGTCTCACCATTTCAGGGAAATGCGCGTCGGTGATTATATGGCTGTTAAAGGGCCTAAGGTCGATTCGCTGTTCTTTATGTTATTGTTCAGTTTTCTTTTGTTTTTGCTGAATTCTTCCTTCTATATTATATTATTCTCTAAAATTCAGACTTTTTGCTTTTTGTTGCTTTATCTGGCTAGGTTAATCCTTATTGCGGGACTCCAATATGATGCCAAAATTATGTAACTGTAAAAATTGAATGGATACTGATTATGTAAAATATAAATAATTTTGCTCCCGTGGATGGTTCTCCTATGGACCTGAACCAGCTGCTGCTTTTTTTTTTTTTTCCTCTTTTGCTTAATATTGACATATCTTACTGTGTTTATCCTGCTACTCTAGACAAGAGTTACATGTCTCTCTTGTGTGATTAGCTTCTTATGAGTTTTGTTTCCCGTTATATATATCTGCTGATGTTTGTATAACCTTGTACTATTTCCATCCTTATCATTCAGTTGTTGGCTTGAAATTCAACTATTTGAATTCTGTTCGTGATGGCTTTTACTAATGAAATGAATGAACCATCTCTCAATATGGGATAGTCTTTTTTTGCTTTTTGATTGATGTATATGGCTGTTCCTTGTTGAATGCAGACAGTACACGCAAAAACTGCAAAAATGATTTGAATAAATAAATGACGAAAACTGGGAACTTGAATAAATAAATGATGAAAACTGGAAACAGAACAAGTTCCTTGCAAACTAGACAATAACTGTCTCACTGTGAAGATCCGAATTCTCGTGGCATCTTACTTGTAAGCTTGGTACTTGGTGGTCAAAATATCTTTGATAACAACATTAGTATTTTTTTTTTTTTTTGGGTCAGACATTATGTCTTGCAAAGTTTTCTGCCTCTTTTTAGAAAGTGTAATACATTACTCACCATTGGTTACATTTCCTCTTCTAGGGTCGATTTAGATATCAACCTGGACAAGTTAGAGCTTTTGGGATGCTTGGTGGTGGCTCTGGCATTACGCCGATGTTTCAGGTTGGTTTTCAACATTCTTTCAGATTTGACTGTGAGTTGCAACTCATATTTCTTGAATCTTACAATCATGACTTTCTTTCTCTTATCTATAGGTTGCTAGAGCTATCTTAGAGAACCCAAATGACAAAACAGAGGTGTATCTTATATATGCTAATGTTACATATGAGGATATCCTCTTGAAGGTAACATGTTAGTTGCCACTGTTATCATGTCCAATCACATTGCTATGTATGATACTTTTTTGATTGAGAAAGTTCTGATGTGTCTCATTTTGGAGAGTTCTAATATAAATTATGAAATTGAGAATGTTAAAGAAATTTCTAGTGTTTGGCTTTTAATCTGTTACCAGAGTTGTTAACGACTTAGTCTTCTTGATCTTCAAGCTCTAAAGTACTGTGCTTGACTTCTGGAACATATAAAATAATTTTGTCCGCGAGGAGGTGGGTTAGGATGTTGTAAGATGATGGTTTCAAATATGTAAAATTCCCAACACGTAACAAACTTGTGTGAATGAAACATACAAATGAATAGTGTGATGAGTATTGTGATTTCGAGTAGTTTGAGATGTCTACATGTAATAATCAGAGAAGGGAATCTCTATATTTCAGTACTTTGTTAACCTTTGCTTCTTTCTCTAAATTTGTTTTTTTCTTTCCCCCAGGAAGAGTTGGATGGTCTGGCTGCTAACTATCCAGCTCGGTTTAAAGTCTACTATGTGCTGAATCAGGTTAGTCTTCTGCTTTCTGTATGCCGTGTTTAATTCGTTTTGGTCCTGGCTTAGTTAGTGCCACAAAATTGTGAAAATTTCTGCAAATTAATTTCTTGGCCAATGTATGTCCTTGTTCTTTAAGTAGGCCTTTTGGCCTGGTTTGTTTTGAACTGCTAAAACAAATTGTTAAGGGAGAAAGGAAAATTGTTTCTATAGATTAATTAAAAATAGTGCAGAGATTTAATTTACATGGACTTATAAATATGCCTATTTTACTCCTAGTAATATATATACTCAATTTGTGTATAAATATTCTTAAATCTATCCCTCAAATTGGTGCTTGCATATTTGATGTGCACAACTTACAAATATATCCAACTTTTGGGACTATGTGATCTGTGAAAATTCATCTAAACTGATCATTTGACCCTACAAATGAGTTCCTCTTTTGTGAATTGAGAGTCCATTTCAATATTTTTACTGTGTAGGCCGCTTAGTAATCACATATGAACATCGTAGGTACTTAAGTTGATTACCGTTATGAAAGTTTATTCGCATGATGTTTATAGGCTAACTTGAGGGGAGGGTTAGAAATAAAAATGTGAGTAATGCATATAATTTACTATTGAATTTATTGCTATAAAAATGTCAGTTCTACTCCTTTGACTAAACTAATGAAAACTGCTCTCCGTAATTTTTAATAATGGCTATGAGGGTAGTCGCAATGGTGGTGTGGTAGTTTGTAGGCCAAGTTTGAGATTCTTATCCCATGTATTCTCTTTTAACATGAGATGGTGGTACAAATGAGCTGTGTCATTTGACTATTGTACAAATAGTACCTCAATGAATTTATCGAGTCTCTTGGTTAGCGAAAATTGGCTACTATGTGTTTTTTTCTTTCTAGTAGCTTGAAATGAAGAGCATAAGTCTTGCTGAATGATTGTTAAGAAAAGAATATTCTTGGCCGAATTACATTAGTCAGCTGCCAGGAACCAAACTTCATGTGTGAGATTGTTTTTCTGCTTCTAAGATAATTTGGCACTGGGCCATTTTCTTGCTCGAATACCTTGAGGAATTTGTGGATGGGTTTCACCATGATCTCATCAGCCATAAAGTTAGCGATTCATTTGCTATCTGTGTCTTTCATGAACTATCTGATTTATTTACTTTTTGGGTGGGTAATATCACAGCCTCCTGAATCATGGAATGGTGGCGTCGGCTTTGTCTCAAAGGAAATGATTCAAGAACATTGTCCTGCACCAGCATCTGACATTAAGGTGAAGTGATCTTAATTGTTATTCAGTTTTTATTTCCGGAAGAAACTGTAGTTTTGCAATTAGATTGGTTTGCATTAGTAGAAATTACTCCAAATTTATGCTATCAATATCATTTTGCAACCTCTGTGGTATTTTGAGCAACATGTTTCTCTTTTTATTTTCCTCAAACTTCCGAGTACGCTTTGTGTCGACGACTGCCGAATAACGGAATTGTGCATTTAAGGTTTTCAATTTCCCCTGCTTTCCAGATACTGAGATGTGGACCTCCACCTATGAACAAGGCCATGGCTGCTCATCTTGAAGCTCTTGGATATACTCCTGAAATGCAGTTCCAGTTTTAATAGTCTTTAGAAATTGCAGTGAGAAATTAGGAAAACGGCATCTACACTTTTATTTGGAGCCATGAAAATCATCTCTTGAAGCTCTAAACATTCGCAATAAATGTTTAACCAGATTTCTTTTATTTATGTTATTCTATTTTATTTTGTAAGATTGAGCCATCGCACTAATTCTCGTTCGGTCTGAACTAAAACAAAAATGTCCTCCAACTAGTGGGTTCTAAACGATAATCTATTTTCCTCCATTTTTTGTTTTGTTTTTACTTAACCGTATAAATAAATCAAGAACGAATTATCAATCAATAAGTTTTTGTTATTTTACTAAAGTAATTTTATGGCTTTGACGAAACGTACATACTCATCAATTAAAAGGCACATTCTCATCTTCTAATGTGCATATCTGATTACAACTAATTGCTTAACGTGTTTCCAATTTCGTAAGGATTTGGAAGTAAACGATCTAGAAGGACAAAATATATGCAGTTTTACCCATAATTATTTTAATACGAAGATCAAAGATGGAGAAAAACTTGTTTGTTTAATTTAGTATTGTCATCTCTCAAGTGAGAAGTTTTCCGAGAGCGATTCCTATGAAGAGAATCCATCCGACCCACTTGTTGGACATTTGTCTGAAATCAACAAAGAAAGTCACCAAAAAATAAATGAAAATTAAATATGAAATAGAAAAAAAAAAAAAAAACTTTACCATACAATGAAGAACCCTGTATTGAAAAGAAAAACGACAAATTGAGTACATGCACATCCATTCCATATTTGTTTTTAGTGGTTTTTAGTGCATGCTATATAAATATATAAAACAAATGAGAAAAAAATAAAATAATTTGGTAGATTTAAATATAGTAATTTATATAATGAACTAAGTACTTTTTTATGCAATCGATGGGGTCATGAAGATCGACTGCCACAATCTGCCAAACTAAGTGGGAAGTAACAACAACCAGAGATGCAAAATATGGCCAACCTAGACAAAGGACATAACAAAAGAAAATGTGTATAATAAATAAACTTTAGGTTAATTTATGATTACTAATAGCACTAATTACTATAAATAAATGTGGAACAAGGTTACCAAGCTTTGCATTAAATCCAGTAAGAGCAAAGCCAGAAATGGTTGCTATTCCAAAACCCGTTAGCCAAATTTTTATTGAGTCACCAAATAGAATGGCTGTGGATTTCAGCCCCAACTTCTCATCTTCTTCTTTATCCTACACCATCAATGAAATTACTTGAGATTTTCCCCCCTCCAATAATACATTGAGATTTTATATCACCAAAATTTAATAACGCAGTGTATAAAATTTTTTTATCATTCATGACACAAAAGTATACTTCCTCCATGTATTTAAGTAACCCGTTAATTTAAGTTAAAACCATACAAAAAAGTAAACTATTAAAGTAGGATAGAGGTTATAAATTTTTTTTTACGAATTTTTTTTTTTAATTTCTTTATTTTGGACAATAAATTACGAACGAGACTATACATGTTAGAGCGTATGATCTCACATCATATTTCCTTATAAGTATATATGAGTCATTTATGAGATTCTTGAGGCCATTGTTCATAATACTAGCATCAAGTTCTTTACATGTCCGTGGTGAGTAAATGGAGAAAACTAAAGCTATAAAGGTTTATTTATCGCCGGGGAGTCTAATTTTTCATTTTTAATTTTTGAAATGTAACAAAGGAAAAAGCTCTGGACCAATTACTTAGTAACAATTTAAAAAATTATATACATATACAAAGGTTGCACAATAATGAATTAATCACATCAATGAATCAAGTCTTAATTTATCTCTTTCTAAAATTTGAAAAAAGGAAAAAAAAAAAAAAAGAATACCTGACAGGAATATATTGTCTCATACAAAAGGGTCCAAAAGAAACCAGAAATGTAGAGTGGGAATAACACATTGGCAGGTGCAAAGCTCCCTTTAACTGCAGCCCAACTCATAAACGCTCCCAGATGCATGTTCATGCTGAAATAGGCCTATGACTGCACGAACAATGATTATTTTATTTTCTAAAAAAATAAAAACGTGAAAATATCATTTAAAAATTCATGATTTGGAAAAATACCGACCAAATTTGTTAATCTCTTGGTGAGAGATAGACAAAACTGATTGCCAACCATAAAATCCACACTTTCTGGCTGGAAATAGGAAATAAATAAAAGTAAGTAGTGATGGAAAAATCATCAATATACTATTGCAGAAACTAGAGAGAGAAAATGTGCTGAGGTGTCATGCAATCCTTCACTTCCTTCCCAATTATTCCCTCTGTCCCAAATTTATTGCCCAATTTGAGATTTTACTTTTAGTACAATTTAAACTAAACATGAAAATTCAAACTGGACAATAATTATATGACGGAGGGAGTATAATATAGAGCTCCTAGGTACACCTTCCTAGTTTGAAATTCACGCGCCCAAAAAGGGGGAAAAAAAAGAGAGATTTTCAAATCTTCAATTTCCGGATATTCTTCCTAACTTTCAGCTATCATTAATCATATCTAACTTGCTATTCCAATCCAAAGACGTCTCAAACAAAAAAAAAAAAAAAATCCAAAAACCCAAATATTCTCTGCAGTGATTTGGCATCAAAATCTTTCGTCTGGCAGTATTTTTGAAGATGCAATCCGATTGTGCATCAAATCCTGTGAATTTGGTTGCAATATATGCTACTGAATATGAGAATTATGGTAAGATTTGAGATCATTCATCTGTTTTGTGTTTTGTCTGGTGAATCTTTCTTGAAATTCTCAAAATCTTTCATGTAGAGAATCAGTTTTATGTGTTTACTCCATGGATCCAATTATAAGAATGGTTTTTTAAATACCGAATCATCCATGTAGACAGCAACGATTGAGGATCCTGATTCAAATAGAAGCAGTTCGGAAAATGAAGATGAAGGAAGGTAATACTATTAATCTATTCAATAATTAATGCATTTTTTTGATGTGTTTTGTTGATCTAGGGTATATGCATTCGATTATAGAGCTTTGTTCATCAATTTTTAAGTTTTCTTCATCGTATTTGCTGTGTTTGTGGAAGATACTAATAGATCTGGGCGTTATTCATTAGTTCATATTCAATATTCATCTTTAAAATACGTAGATCTAAGGTTCCTGCATTCGTTTATAGATGGTTGTACACCAACTTATTAGATTTGTTCATCCATTAGTTGTTGAGTTTGAAGTGTTTCTATCATTTCACTAGTCATCAGTTACTCAGCCATTATTCATCGATATTAAAGGGTTATTCATCATAATAATTATGTTACGCGATTGTTATTCATTATTTTAGTTGTTGCCTCATCATCTATAGTCTAACTATTCATCAACTGTTCTTTGTTATTGAAATGGTTAGGCCATATCTGCCCATTATTCATCATTGTTGTCTTGATTACTCATAGTTATAATATGTAATAGGAGTGAAAATGTGATTTTTATAAAACAATTTCTATATATCATCATTGTATTGTGCTTATTCATTTTTTTAACTTTTGTTATTCATCGTTAATGCAACAGTATTGCATATGCAAGAGCTGAATATTCATATGCTTGTTTATTAGTATTGGTATTATTGTTCATCAGTTGGTGTTCATCACATGTATATGGTTATTCGTCAAGTGAATTTTAGTTATTCATTACATACAAATGTGTTATTCATTTGTTTATTAATATTGTCCTTTCTTGACATAATGCATCAGTAAGGATAAAGGGAAACAATCGGAGGTTGAAGCAAGTAGAACCACTGGAACTGAAAAAATCCCATCACTAGTTGAAATGCTCATCAAAATGAACTCAATCGATTGGGAATCAAATATTTTGGTAGAGTTGTTGAAAACAAACAATCAACATAAAAGTATCAAGCATCGGCGAATCATTCAAGACTTTATAAGTTAAAATAATGACTAATTATTTTGTTCATTTTTTGTCTAGTATAATGCATAATTTGAAGTTTGTTAGCTTAGTTGCTGACATTAGTTCATTGTAAAATATATTCTCGTTAGTTTTTTTTAATTAAAGTTATTTATTCTATTACGCATTATTCATCCACTAACGACATTTTATTCATTCATTAAGTTACAATTATTCATCTAACAAAGCTATATCTATTCTTCATTCTAGTATTATTATTCATCTAGGATGGGATCATTATTCATCAAAATTTATTTTGTTATTCATCTTTGTAAATATTGTTATCCATTTCAAAATTTAAGTTTATTTATCCATAACTTTTTTTTAATGAATAGAGAGGTCAAGATAACGTTCAGGTTCCAACTAGCTCAAAAAAACTCAAGGGGTCTACCCAAGAGGTAAATTTTTGAACTAACCAGTGCCAAATAGTATAATGCGCCCAAGGGATCTACCCAAGGGATGACATATATACTATTTAGTTCCCTAGTTTCATCCTTCCCTAATTTATTATTAATATAATAGTGGCAAGCCAAGGGCAGTGCACAAACTCACCCTATGGCAATTACAATCGGGACTAAAAATCTTGGCTAAACTATTACAATGATACAAAAGCCATGCTACCTTATACTGAGATAAGGTAAGGATCTTTGATCAAGAACAAGTAACCGTCTACTGTTGGAAGGCAAAGCCCTGCATGTTCTAAAGACCTCCGACTGCCCAGAAGATGCCAAGTCGGCCAAAGAGTCTGCTACTGCTTTTGTCTCACGATAGACATGAATTATAGTAAAACTCCAGCACCACAGAATACCCCAAATCTCCTCCAATGCAAGCTTGAATTTCCAAGGATAAGGACCTCCATTCTCTAGCATCATTGCCAAAGCTAAATAATCCGCTTGAATCTCAACCCGCTCGAGGCCTAATAAAACACAACGCCGAATTCCAAAAAGCAAGCCATAAGTTTCTGCCATGAAACTATCTCCAAAACCAAGATAGCCCGACTCAGCATAAACAAAATTCCCACGATGTCCACGAATTATAAATCCATAGCCAGAAATTTGATTCACAC